GGCTCCTGCCCCACCTGTCCACTCTGCCTAAGTGAGCTGTGCTCCTCCCTCACGGCCACCTCCGGGACCCGCCCCGACCTGGAAAGGCAGAACACCTGTGCCACCATCTCAGCGCTGCACAGCTGGCCTGGCCCCACCCAGCGGGACCACCCAGCGGCTGCCCGACAGAGCCCAGGGCACAGGACTTACACCGCAGCTTCTCGTCCAGGGTTCCCCTCGAGGTCACCGACAGCGCCTGGATGAACTCAGAGAACTCAATCCGCCCGTCCTGGCAGGAGAGAGAGGGGTGGGGGTGGCCTCCGTCAGCGCCGGGCCACCTGGTCAGGCCAAACCTTGGGCAGGTGGTGACGACGGGCAGCAGGAGGCGCCAGACACCCAAGCGGAGAGGGCGGGAGTGAAAGGGTGAGGGGTAGCAAGACGAATGGGGAGGGGAAGGGAGTAGGGTTAGAAATGGGGCAGGTGGGGCGGGAGGGGCAGAAAGAAGGGGCGAGGCTCCAGGAAGAATCCTGTGCCACATCTGATGAGAGAAGGAGCCAGGAGACACCAACGCCCGCTCTCCTCTAGCGGGAGACGCCCGGAAAGCCCCGCGCTCCCCAGGGCTCCCCAGGGCCGAGAACCACCGGCTCAGAGGCTCCGGAAGAGGGCGGGGCTCTAGACCGGAAGAGGGCGGGGCTCTAGACCGTTTAATCCCGCCTTTTTTGTTTTGCAAGCAAAGAAACTGAGGCCTGGAGAGGGCAGAGCTCTCCCCAGGGCCAGGCAGGGTGACTGTCAGCCTGGGGGCACCTGGGAAGAAAGCCAGGCCAGGACTGGACTGCGGATGCCCCACGGTGGACACGCCAACGGTCGGCACCGCTGTCACCAGGAAGGGACACAGGCTGCAACACAGATGAGCCTTGAAAACATGATGCTCAGCGAAAGAAGCCAGGACTGAAAGATCCCATATTGTCTGATTCTCAGAACCTCAGGTTCCTCGTCTGCAAAACGGGGGGCCGTAAGGCCTCGCCAAAAATAAGTCACACAAAGGGCTCGGCACACAGGACACGTTCGGTAAATGCAAGTCGTGATTATAAATCCTGTTATTGTCCCTGGAGGCATCTGCATTTGGTGCTTGTAAGAAGAAGGTGAAAGTAAACGCGTGTGCATAAACACGTGTGGTGCATGTGTATGCACATGCAAGTTCATGTATCATGCATCACATACATGCACATGTGTTTGTGTGCGCCTTGAGTGCAAGTGTGGTCATGTATGTACATGCCTGTGTGTGCATTTGTGTGTGCGTGCACGGTATGTGTGTGAGCATCTGTGTGCATGTCTGAGTGAGTGTGCGTGCATTTTCGTGCATGTGTACGTGTGCGTGCGTGTGACTGTGTGCACATGTGTGTTCCTTCTCCAGGAGGGAACATCAGCAGGAGAGAGTGGGCGTGGAGATGCTGCAGGTGCCCCCAGGAGCTGAGCAGGCTGCTGCAGGAGGAAGGGGATTAGGGTCCCCGACTCACCTTGTTTTCGTCAAAGACGTTAAAAACAAATGTGGCGAACTTGGTGGGGTCCCCAAATGGAAAGAACTGCTTGTAGATCTTCTGGAAGCCAGCTGCGTCCAGCTGCCCGCTGGGGCAGTCCTTGATGAAGCCTTTGTACCTGAGGTAGCAGACCGAGTGAGGGGGGGCGGGTGAGATGGCATTGTCACCCACCCGCCAGGAGCTCCTGCCCAGGGCCCTGAAGGCTGTGAATTGCTGCCCAAAGAGACAGCACTACACGGGTGTTGTGGGCACAGACCTGGACATCAGAGGCCTGAGCTCACCCCACCTCTGCCTCACGCTAGCTATATGACCTGGGACGGGTGATTGTACCTCTCTGAGCCTCATCTGGACAAGGGGGCTCAGTGGCTGTTGATGCCGGGGATGCTAGTGGGCAGAGCCACCATATGGGGCCAGCAGTTGGCTCCTCCCACATGCCTGCACCCCCAATATGCACACACACCCACCCTAGCTTCAGTTCTCAGGAACTGTGTAAACAGACGATGGAGGGGACCCCACTTTGTTCCAGCTGGACTTGTCCACCCTGCATTCCCAGTGTCCAGCACAAGACCTTCCAGATGCCCGGCTGATGGCGGCACGGTCTGCCGCACAGATCCCAGCTCTGCCACTTGCTGGCTCTGCAACCTCGGGCAAGTGCCCTGGCCTCTCTGAGCCTCGGTCTCCTCATCTATAAACAGGGACAGTTTACCACACGCATTTTGTCAGGCTCGAGTGGGACGGTACACGTCGCATACGTGGCACAGGCTAGAGATAAAGACTCCCCAACACAAAGGGAAGCCGGCGAGAGGACTGGCTACTGCCAGCTGCAGCCGTGCCCCCCGGGCCGCTCTGTGCCGGGATCTCGGCAAACCTCTCTCCTGGAACAACGCCCATGACAGCCCTGTGACCGCGGTACGACAGCGAAGCCCACTGTCAGGTGAGGACACTGAGGCTCGGAGAGGGAGGGTTTGCAAGGGGATCAAAGGTGAAGAGCCGGGATGCTCAGAGCCACTGGGTCGCTGAAGACTTTCCCACCTGCCCCGGCGTTCCTCACTGTAACCGGGACCCGTGCCGAGATGGCACACTCCCGCCTCACGTGCATGGAGAGGATGCTGGGAGTACTGAACTTAACGCTGCGGGCAGCGCCATGGCGGGGGTCCACAGACAGAGGGAGGCTACAAAGAAGCCACCGCTCCCCACCCACTAGAGCACAGTCTGGGAGCCTGGGATGGGCACCAAATACACCGAGACCCGAAAGGACGTGCAGGGCACCTCGGGAGGGAGCCTCAGGATCCTCCAGCCTAAATGATGAAAGTCCGTTGTCAAAAAGAAACAAGACAAGACTCCTGCTCACATGTCCGCTGTTCCTTAGGGCTGAGGGGTGCCGGGGTGCGACTTCCTCTTGGGGCCCGGCTGGAGCGGGCATACCACCGCCCCGACTGCCCCCAGCAAGCACGAGGTCGGGAAAGAGACCAGGCCTGTGTGCCCCTCCTCGCCCTCCCGCTGGGCACCAGGGAGGCGGGTCCCAGCTCAGTAACCAGAGTCTGTCTCACCGTCCACCTGGACCATTGTAACAGCCACACGACAGCCCGGGTCAGGCACTGAGCTCTGAGCTTTGTGGACGGCTGCTCACGCAGCTGCCACCTCGGCCCTGCGCAGTGGGTCCAGCGATCCCATTTCACAGATGGAGGCGCCAAGGCACAGGTCAGGTCCCCCTCCCACAGCAGGTCCCTCCACGTCCCCCCCTTCAAGCCTTCTTCCCAGCTGGGGATGCAGAGCTCACATCTTCATACCTGGGCCAGCCCAGGGCCAAGCCTTTCGGGGCCGAGACCTGGCCCATGACCCCAGGCCTCCAGACCAGGATGAGGCACTGGGCAGGAGGAGGGGACCTGCCTGGCGCCAGGACGCAGCGATCCACGTGGGGGGCACACTCCACTGTCACCAGATGGCCCTGGATGCCGAGATAGGGCCCATTATGTCCCCCGTGCTCCCTCAGAGCTCACTTCTCCACAGGGGCTGTGTGTTACTGAGGGATTCTAAAAGATTGAAAACATAAAGAAAACCAAAGGTGCCCGAAGGCCTCTCCAGGACAGTCAGTCCCTGTGGGCGGCTCACGGGGTGGTCCCTCTGAGGGTAGCCGAGAGCTCAGCAGCACAGCAGCAGTGGGCGCTGACGGCTCCCACTGCGACGGGCTGGCGGTGGGGTGCACTCCACAGGTGCTGTGTGTTACTGAGGGATTCTAAAAGACTGAAAACATAAAGAAAAAACAAAAGGTGCCCGAAGGCCTCTCCAGGACAGTCCCTGTGGGCGGCTCACGGGGTGGTCCCTCCGAGGGGAGCCGAGAGCTCAGCAGCACAGCAGCAGCGGGCGCTGACGGCTCCCGCTGCAGCGGGCTGGCGGTGGGGTGCGTTTTTTTTGCAGCTGCAGGTCCCCTCCCTGTAAAACACATCTTCCTCCTCTTTATGTGGCTAATCAGGCTAATCCACTCATCCACCACGTGCCCGGCTTGGATGTTGCTTCCTCCAGAAAGTCACCCCGGCCGCCCAGACTGAGGTCACATGGCTCCTGCACTCCCATATCCCTGGCACGTCCCCCACCATGTTCGCCTTCAGGCTGTGTCCCCCACCTGACACCACGGTGCCCCCATGCCCGGCAAGGCGTCTGGCATGTGATGGGGGCTCAGCAAACGTTTGTCCAGTGAGCTGAAGGAATGAATGAACAAATGAATGAATGAACAAACTGCCAGGCAGGGACAGAGACAGCCGAGCCCTGGGGACCCTGGTCAGGACGCGGAGCTCCTGGCGGATGGTGAGACCCACCACTGCTGGGCTCCCCTCCTCCACAGCTTGTTGGGGAGCTGGGGGCCCAGAGAGGGAGCGAGACTGGCCCAAGGTCGCTCCACAAGTCAGCTGCACAAACAGGGCTCCTGCCTCCCAGGCTCCGCCACCCCGCTCACCCCTCAGGGAGCTGGGTCACACTGTCCCACTGTCAACTCACGGGTAACGCACCTGCCACCCTGTTGTTCATCGTCAGAAGGTGGGGGGCACCCTGCCTCGCTGGAGCAGAGATGGGGCAGGTCTGAGCTGTCTCAGACACCCCAGTGGCTTCTGGGGCCCCCAATTTTCCCTGCGAGTCATCACAGCTCTGAGGCCAGGATTTGATGCCTCATGCGGCCCCATCCTGAGGTGCAGCCCAGCCCCCACTGGCTGGCTGTGTCTGGACACCCCACACCAGGCACACACCCCGCGCGGGCACCTACGGGAGCTGTTGTCTCATAATGAAGTTCATGCCCAGAAATTTCTTCCCCAGGATGTCTGAGAGATGTGTCTGCATCCCCGCCCAGACCAGGCCCCAACAGGCCGGGCTCCCTCCCTCTGCCTCCCCCGGCCCCGCCCTCCCTCCTTCAGACTTCCTGCCGCCAGGAGCCAGCGCTTCTGCCCCTGGCTCCTCTGCCGGGCGCGGGAGCCC